CCAGTTTGAGCCGGTTTCTTTTCCTGCACTGGCTGAGATAGTAGAGCACTTGCGCCCTGCCACCTGCCCATCTGACAGCATCCCTTCCCGCCTGCTTAAAGAGGTTTTTAGCTCAGTTGGGTCTTTTATCTTGTTTCTTATAAATCTGTCTCTTAGTTCTGGATGCGTCCCATCCTCTTTTAAACATGCCACAGTGCAGCCTCTGCTAAAAAAGAAAACCCTGGATCCCCTGTCACTTTCTAACTTTAGGCCAATTTCTAAGCTCCCGTTTATTTCCAAGGTTTTAGAAAAAGTTGTTCTTGGCCAAATGCAACATTTTTTAGATCAAGCCAATATTGGTGAGCTGTTCCAGTCAGGTTTCAAGCCTCTTCATAGCACTGAAACTGCTCTTTTGAAAAGTTTTTAACGATCTTCTTTTAAATCTTGACTCGGGTGATTGTGCCTTCTTAATGCTTCTGGACCTTACAGCAGCATTTGATACGGTGAACCACTCCATCCTCTTATCACGCCTTGAGCACACTGTAGGCATTAAAGGCCCCGCTCTAGAATGGTTTAAATCCTACCTTGCCGACCGATCCTTCAGTGTACAATTGGGGCAGTACTCCTCCTCAGTGGCCCCTCTAACCTGTGGAGTCCCTCAGGGGTCAGTTCTAGGCCGTCTGCTGTTCTCCCTTTACATGCTACCCCTGGGGTCAATATTTAGGAAGCACGACATCCACTTCCATTGCTTTGCTGATGATGTGCAGGTGTGCCTGCCGCTAAGAGCCCCCTCCAAGGAATCCCTTCAGGCTGTGTTCAACTGTATGAGGGATATTAAAACATGGATGGACCTGAACTTTTTAAAATTGAACGAAAACAAAACTGAGATTGTCCTCTTTGGCAACCCTGACACCGTCCAGGTCCTTGCCAGCTCCCTCGGCCCCTTAGTACCCTATATAGGTTCCCAGGCCAGAAACCTAGGTGTTATTGTTGATGGGGCTCTTAAGCTGGACAAGCAGATCAGCTCCGTCGTGAAGGCTAGTTTTCCTCAGCTTCGGCTACTGGCAAAAATCAAGCCTTATCTTAGGAGGCCAGATCTGGAAAAGGTTATCCATGCTTTTATCTCGGCTCGCCTTGACTATTGCAACTCGCTGTATTTTGGCATCAGCCAAACTGAAATTAACCGCCTACAGCTTGTACAAAATGCTGCTGCTCGTCTCCTGACCGGAGCCAAGAAACGGGAGCACATCTCACTGGTGCTCTCCTCACTTCACTGGCTCCCAGTCAAGTTCAGGATTGATTTTAAGATTCTTTTATTTGCTTTTAAGTCTTTGCACGGGCTGGCCCCAGAATATTTATCTGACCTTGTCAAGGTGCACCGACCCGCCAGATCCTTGAGGTCTGCTGACCGGATGGTCTTAGATGTGCCGAGAACCCAGCTTAAAAGCAGAGGGGATCGGGCATTCGCAGTTGCTGCTCCCACACTGTGGAATGCCCTGCCTCAGTCTGTGCGTTCTGCAACCAGCCTCACCTCCTTCAAAACGCACCTTAAAACCTAACTGTTTACCCTAGCTTTAGGTTGAGTTGTCACTTGCTTTTACTCGCGTACGCTTTTCTTTTATTGTTGTTATTGTATGTTTCCCTTTTAATGTTGCCATACTTGTAGCTTTTATTATTTTATGTTTTTCTCCTGTAAAGCACTTTGTCTGGCCTGTCCTATAAATGTGCTATATAAATAAATGTGACATTGACATTTAAAATGAAATAAAATAAATGAAATAAAAACACAAATATCTAAGAAATAGAAGCCATAAAAACACAGGGATTAGGACCATAAAAGACATAAAAGGACAGAGATCACACAACTCTCAGGCTGAACTGAAAGCCAAGAAATAAAAATGAGTTTTAAGACATGACTTAAAAGTAGGGAGGGTGAGGGATGTTTTAAATAAAGAGCAATACTTCAAGATTCTCAACAATAACATCAGGCAGTCTGCAGTCTCCAGTGGACATTTTAGCATGACAACTACCAAAAACACAGAGCAAAAGTGGTGAAGAAATGGTTAGAGGTTAGTTAGATTCTGAATCTAACAAAGATTGATTTAAACAAAGCTTATGCTTCAATAAAATGAACAGGCTCACTTTCATCTTTTTAGCTGCTCTTTCCATAGAGCCTCATGTGCTTCAATTCTTAGCTCTCCTGAATGAATAACTATTCTACTGAGCTGTAGACAGATATTTAGTTTAAAGATTAAGATAATTCCCATTTCAGTGTGTTTTTACCAATGAAAATGGAAAAAAAAATATCTGCAAATTTGAATAGCTGTAACAACACATAGGCTGATTTGTTGGCTAAATATTTGACTAAATGTTCCAACTCAAATGCCCAAAAAGTGAATAATTCTCTGGTTTAAAAGTACACCTCACCAAAATCAGACATGGTTTTCAGTCCGATTGAATCTGTCCCAAACTTCTCAAGAGTGGGATTAATCAGTACCACTAACCCCATCTGAGTAGATGGCAGCATCAGTGACAAATGAATGTGGGACACTGTAAACCAACTCTTGGTAGCTCTTGATACCTTCCCAATCCTCCCTGGTCTGTTACTGTCTTCAGAACAAGCTACTGTACGTTCAAGTCAATGTTCGCTTAACATTTTAAATGATCTTCCAACAGCAGCAGAATAGACATTGTTGAATAGATACATGTATAAAACTTTCAGCTTCAGTGTTTGTTAAATAACCACATAACTTCTCTTTTCAAAATCCTATAAAGAAGTTGAGTCTGCTGCTTGTGAATGCTGTTTCTCCTCTTCTAATCTGTTCCATTTGCTTTTAGTTTATCATTAAACTTTTTGGTTCTCCAATTAAATGCAATGACAAATAATATGAGACCACACATTAACTATCTCAGCTAGAAAACAGATGTGTTAATATGTATTAAGTGGTGTATTTATGAACATTATGGTCCCGATGGTGTTCTGTCACTCTAGTAGTCATAACCTATTCTTCTCTCTTAAATTATTTTCAGACATAAGCAGTTTTCCTCAGCGGCGCCTCGTCCCCAGTCAGCCTCTGATTAGCAGCATAACAGGCAGAGGAACCAGAGGCCGCAGAGGCAAGTACCTAATAATAATAATAATAATAATAATGCATCAGATTTCATATAGTGCTTTATCAGAGACCCTCAAAGCAGTTCCCGAGGACTGGACCAGAGTATCAGTAGAGACGGAGCTCGGCAAGGCCATTAACTATCAATTAACCACCATTTGACTCAAAAATGTGCATTCAAGCTGTTTATTGAAGTAAAATGGACAGAAAGAAGCAAACTTAAGGACAGACATCTACTTTGATCATGAATAGTGAGATTTAAGATCAAGAGCAACATTCCAGTTCCTTACTTTAAACTGATTTCTCCTTCAATGTGTTTGTTCACAGGAACTTTATCAAGAGGAGGAAGAGGAGCAGCCATGGGGAGAGGAGGGACAGCCTTATAGTTATGTCACCAGTGGCAGCACAGGCGTCTTATTCATAGGATTAAAACAGTTAATGTTTCATGATTGTTTTTTGCATAATTTTAGGATATTCACTCTGTCAGTATTAGTTGAAATGATTACTGACACTGTTAGATATATATCAGCCCTAATTGTCTGCAGTCCTTTTATTCATGTAAAAATTAGAGCTGTCCTGGTTGTATAATTTTGTTTTTATCTTCCTGTTCCTTTTTTACTTTAAAAGTAGTGAGTGGAGTTTGTTTGATTAAAATAAAGTTTAATATGGTGGCAGGGATACTCTGTGTTTTTTCATGATTTCATGTAAGAGGCTGATGGGTGAGAGCAGCCAAACATCACTGCCAGAAGGTCATTTGGTGCACCAGGCTTTTGGCATATCATTCCTCGCAGAGCGGGGCATATGCTGATTTGCCACATTCAATGGTTTTTAAAAGTATTTTGTTTATTCTGAGGGTGAGTGACGACTGATAAAGAGCTCAGTGCCCTCAGACTTTTCTCACAGGGAATAAAGTTGATCAAATAAAGGACACAATGTTGTGTCACCTAAATACTCAGCAAATTACAGCCCCTATAAACCATCACACTAAAACTGGGCCTTAAAGACCTGTAGAAGTATGAAGGGCTTCTTTCCAAATGTTGAAGTTGAGTTAATTGAGATGCAGAAATTTGACACAGTGCTCAAGTTTTTCTCTTTCGTGCCACTTCGAATTGATACAGCAACCAAGTGATTCAAATGTTTATTTTTCTCTCACACTATTATAAAGTGACATTTCTGAGGAGGATTTGTTTGACCAAGATATAACATCAAAGACGGAAGTCATGTCAGCCATTTAACCCCTGCACAAGGCCCAATTTTTTAAAATAAAAAAACAGTTTCATATCTTTCTGATTCATTTTTAAACAATCTGTATTATATATTTTTTATCTAATTTGTCAGCCTTCAGAGTTGTTCTCCCTCTGCAACAGTTGACCAGTCACATCTTCATTGGTGGGCCTTGTTATGTTACTTTTTAAAAACTGCCACCTACTGCTAGGTACAATAATCAGGGGCTACCAGCTATCCTCAACCAACTACAGATTTTTTATTGTTTTATAAATGTAATAGTTTTTCGTTTCTGGACATGATTTAATTGAAATTTGGAGTTAATCTAGAAATAAAAGACATCCTTAAACTGAGTCGAATTTGGTGCAGAAAAGTAAGTGTTTTGAGAGCTGCTGCTGCCATTGCGGTGGAAAACTATAATAATATCTTTATCTACCAGTAGATTAGCTTCCTCAGTGATTATTAAACCTCATGATTCTTCCTGTAATGCTCCTAAATGATGGACAGGGTTTTAAGCAGAGCTGTCAAAAGTATTCACATTCATTACTTAAGTTAAAGTATAGATACTAGGGTTAAAAAAGACTTTTGTGGTAGAATCGATTCAAGCTTTTTACACAAGTAAAAGTGTACAAGCAGTACAAGCAAAAATACTTCATGTAGGCCATGGCCTAAGCTTTTGTCCTTAATAGCATTTTCCCCTTACATTGCTTACTTTGTGCACTACCCACCTCCCCCCAAAAGAATCTTTTTCTGAAGGCCATAGTGACTATTATGTTATATTAAAATGTTAATGTTGAAAAAGTAGGGATGCAACTGTTTCAGCTGCATTTATGCCAATTAAAAATTAACACATTTTAGTACAATGCAAATATACTGTTCTAAAGAAATTATGACCCACTGACTGAAACACAGTTACATGTGTTGAAATCACATGAAATCACATCAGTGATTTCATTTGTAACTGCATTTAAATTTTTTTGCCAAATGTTTTAGTTTCTCTGCTGCTTATAAGACTAGAACTGACTGTCTCACCACTAAATTTAATAGGAAAGACATTGTTTTGTTTACAAAAAAATATGGCAAAAATAGCCCTAAACTGCTGAGAGCTTCTGGCTTCAAAACAACTAGTGATGCTCAAAATAAGACTTTGTTCTTTTTTTCTAGATAACAGAAGTCATAACAACAAACTAAATAGTAGAATAGTATTCATTCAAATGTGTGATATTTGTAGAGCCAATCATAAAGAAGCTCATGAATGCATATGATTACACGATAAGCCACTATAGTTCAGTAGAAACATCTGAGTAAAGAGCTCAAAGCGGAAAACACATTTCCCCTTTTTTTCAAGTTGTCCTCATGGACAACCCAGCCAAACTTTGATGGAGTTTACCGGATAAGGAGCATGGGTATCCTGAGCAGCCATGTTTGCAGGATTCGGTGCCATAGCAGCAGGACTGAAAATGGACTGAGTCGGTATTGCTGCAGATAGTTCAGGTTTGGCCAGCACTGGCATGTCACTTGAAATCGTGATGCTGAAGAAAAGGGCTGCAAAGATGCCAGAGAGCACAGATTGAACACTCTACAGCAGACATGTGAGCGACAAAATCTGATCTAACTGAATGGAAAAGCCTTAAACATGAAAGAGGAAACAACAGTTTGTTCTGATGAAACAGGAATTACAAATGTTGAACATTCTCTCTGTGAAAAAGCCACAAAGAGCCTCTGATCCTATTGTTTAGGTATTTTAATACAACAACAAATCAAAGGTTCTTACGGCCAGAGAAGATGTAGTGCTGGTATGGGTCACTTTTCAGTGGGATGGGCAGGGACAGAGCAGACGTGACTGGCAAAGGGAATCCTATTCGAGGTGAATGGAGGCTGATCTCTCCACTCAGAGGAACTGCTGAATGTGAGTAATAGAAACGGTAGAAATTAAATCACATTAAGTAATAAAAATTACATCCTGGAGCTAAACAGATCTGGACTGAAACACTAAAATACTGCAAAGCTGTCAGTCGACTAACCAGGCTGCTTGGTGAAAGGACTGGGTCTCTTGCTGCAAGAAGGAGTGCTGCTGGGTGGAAAGATAAACCTCTGCATAATGTCCCCTGGAAGACAAAGTTGAGCTTCCATTAGATATGTTGATAGATTCAAAAAGCATGCAGTGTAAAAATACAGATTAGTGCTTTATAGTCTTCGATTAATGTCACCAGCTCTGGTGTCAAGAATTACTCTACCCTGAGACAAGTTTACTCAGAACATTGACACAGTAACACAATGATATAGACAGCGATTTATGCTTGGTTTTGATATAAAACAATTTATAAGCTTATTTTGCGGCAAAACTATCAGGAGGTTGATATTGGAATAGTCAGGCTATTTGTTACATGAAACCAAATCAATCTCACTATTTTTTGGCCAAATACTAACATGGCATTACCCGATCGATCAGCTAGCTCATATTCATTCACACTAACAGGTGGGCCTTGAGCCACTGTCGAGCAAAACAAATTCCCTCTGTTTTAACCACTGGTAGGTTAAACTGATGGTATCTGTTTAACAACAACCAGATGATGTGTTTTCATTTAAACAAGAATAAATTACTGCACATACAGTGTTCATTGTTAGGAAAGGTGAATTTCTTACCTCTGCATGCTGCTGTCTGTTTATATTTCTGTTGCTATGCTGGTCTTCACATGTTGTATTCATCTGATTGATTGTGGGTTTTAACAGTCACTTCAAGAGGCATTTTCATGTTACTAATGTTCCAGGAAAAATGAAATAACTCCAAAAGTTTAGTGGAGCCACGCTGTAGAAATACAACTTATTTCTTCATATTTTTCATTAAGTATCCTACCTCACTGCTGTTCTTGACTTGACTGAAATCAAGTTTACCATTTATGAGTTTCAGTGCTGTGGTGTGAGAGGTTGTCTCACTGAAAATCATTTGGAGGCACTGACAGTTTATCTGGTGGTAAAATCAATTAATCAATTTTTGAATGATAATAAATATCAATTATTATCTTCATTGGCTCCCCCACAGTGGCCCTGGAAGGCTGTTATGTCTCCATTCCTGGATGTTATACCTATCCTTCCCAACGTTCTCCTTTGTTTCTGGATCTAAGCTCTGAGGCTGTCCCCTGTTATCAGATGGCTGGGACAAACTGAAGGGACTGAGGTGAAGACAATGCCATGGGCTTACACATACACACGAAGAACACACATAATTACACACACCCCCTCCAACTCAACGCCTCTTCTGAATCATTCCCACCAATAGAGTATACAGTGCATCCCGAAAGTATTCATACCACTTCACTTTTTCCACATTTTGTTATGTTACAGCCTTATTCCAAAATGGATTAAATTCCCTTTTTCCCTCAAAAATTCTACAAAAAATACCCCATAATGACAAAGCGAAAAACTTGTTTTAGAACATTTTGCAAATTTATTAAAAATAAGAACACTCAAATGTTGCATATACATAAGTATTCACACCCTTTACTCAATACTTGGTCAAAGCAGCTTTGGCAGCGATTACAGCCTCCAGTCTCCAGAAAAATTGAAGTGGTATGAATTCTTTCTGGATGCATTGTATATTGTAAAGAAACAGGAAAACCTTGTTTCAGCAGACATCCACACTGTCTTTTTAGCCAGCTGGCTGGGATGTACTGAGTAACTTGCACAAGGACAATTAATTGCTAGCTGTTGTTCCATAGTACTAGTACTTATTACAAGGCTTGTTTGTTCCAGCCGTACTTATGATTCACTGTCATGTACACTACAGGCCAAAAGTTTGTAAGCAATATCAGATTTGTACAAAAAAAGATCATAGTTTCATATAGATAATTTGCAAAACTATAAACAAGACTATTGTGTAAAGAGTAACTTATCAGAAGACATTTTGACTATAATTATTAGGTATTTGATTTATTGTTGCTTAGACTTTACTTTCTTTAAAGTAACCTCCTCTGGCTTTAACAACAGCTCGGCATATACCAGGCATCCACAAGTTTTTTAAGGTATGTTCCAGGGATTGCATTCCAAGATTTCTTAAGTTCATTAAAAACAGACTGCTGATTCGTGGGACGCATTTTTCTGACCGATTGATCGAATTCATCCCGCACAAGCTCAATTGGAGAAAGGTCTGGAGACTGAGGGGGCCAAACCATCTTTTAAAGAATACCTTCCTCTTCTTTTTTTGTATAGGTAACCCTGACAGAGCTTGGCAGAGTGCTTAGGGTCATTGTCTTGCTGCAAAACAAACTTATGAGCCACAATTCTGAGTCCAGATGGAACAGCATGGTGCTGGAGGATGGAGTGGTACTGTTCCTTCTTCATGATACTCTTTACTTCAAATAAATCTTCTACTCCATCACCTGCAAAACATCCCCATACCATGGAACTACCACCTCCATGCTGAATTGTGGGTGTAACACATGGTGCTTTCAGACGTTCACCAATTTGTCTGCAGACATAGACTCTACATTTTGAACCAAACAGTTCAAACTTGTTTCTAGTCATCATAAGTCCAATTTCTGTGAACCTTTACCCACTCATATCTCTTTTTCTTGTTCTGTGGACGAAGGAGTGTTTTTTTGCAGATACACAACCCTTCAGCCTTTCTCAAACGTCATTTCATGGTTGTCAGAGATGTGGGTTTCGACCTTATCATGTTGATTTCCTCCATTATTTGTGGTGCTGTCTTTCGCCGATCTCTCTTACTGGTGACAATGCTATGTTTATCCTCTGCTTTTGTGGTAACTCTCTTTCATCCAGGTCTTTTTATATCATCATAACTTCCAGGTTCCTCTAGTCTCTTCAGAGTGTAGCGGACTCCTTTGTTAAACACCTTTAGGCGTTTTGCAATTTCTCTTTCTGTGTATCCTTCTTTCCTCAATGTACAAATCTGTACTTTTGTTTCTTTACTCAGTTGCTTCTTTCTAGTCATTTTTTGCAGTAGTTTAAAGGCAGTTGAGATTTATAAGGATTTTTGTATGCAGACTCTCAAAAGCCAAAAAGTTAAAGTGAATAATCCAACTGTGATTTGTTTTTGTTTTTTTGCTTTTGCACTGAAGTTGTGACTTTTGCAAATGTTTTCAACCCTAAAACTAAGCCCTTATTATCTTTTGCTGACATATATTTAGCAATGGTCTGTTAACATCAATGTATATCTAAAGGTAAATGGAGTAAAATGGTGCATTTCCATGAAAGCAACATCTGATCATGGAGTAAATACATCCCAAAATACATAAAACTCAAGCTGGATTTTAAAAAAAGCATTGTGAACAAAAACTTAAGTTTCTCCCAACTGTTCGGCCTGTAATGGCCTTGCTTCCAAACTTTTGGCCTGTAGTGTATGTGGTCAGGTGAATCCCTCTTTGCCCTGAATAGCAGCTCATCTTTTCTGCATAATTTTCTCTCCCTGTATACATTACCTTTTTTAAAGAAGAATACCAACTCGGGTCTGTCCCTGGTGGCAGGTATCGCCAGTGCAGCTGTGATGCCTCCAGTCAGACCTGGGAACTCAGAGGCTAGAGGTTTGGGGTAGCCTGATTCCATCATCATGTTTGAATCCAGACGCCAGAATTGGTGTCCCTGAAGCAACAGAGAGCAGAGATGGTCACTGAGCGAAACAGAAGTATCCCATCAAATGGTTGTATTTTGTTAGAACATAGAGATTGTATTTTTGTGATCATGTTTTTATTCAGGTCACTTCTTTGTATGAACAAAAATTGTTTAGTTTGCTCAAGTATACTGTAGATATATTTCTGGTGTTAGAAGCTCTGTGACAGCCTTTCAGAGTTCAAATAAATCCAACTATTTATATTATATACTCAAGCAGTTAAATTTAATAGTTTTAACACATTTCATTGTGATGCAAAGAGCAAGCACTTTTATTTGCATAACTTTGTAATATCAATTTTGCAACCAATTTACTGTATAATGAGAATGCAAATGTACCACAATATAATCACACTACCACAGGTCTAAAAATGAAATGCTGAATGACGTTAAAATTGAGACCAAGTTTAGACTAGCCTGTTATACTGTACTACACTGTATATTGCTCAACGGCTATCCTAATTATTTTGGTACTTGGTACTTGGAGGTCAGTTATGCAATTTACAGTTGCTTTTTGAAATAAATAGTTATTGAAAAATAGGTTAAAGTACAATGTCTAAATTCCATCTAAAAAAATATACTGAATCTAGACGGTTAAATTAAGTCTAAAAAAAAACTAGACGTCTAATAGCAGTCTATTGCTCAGTGCCCTGAGTAACAGCAGGGAGAGAGACATGCCCAGAATAGTCTGAAGTAAGCTACGCAGACAACTGCTGGTGAGAGTGTGTTCACCTGTGTATGCGCAAGTGTCTGTACATGTGTTCATGGGCTCTATTTTCGCACCTGCCAGCAGCGCGGAGGAGGATGGTGCACCCCGCACAGTGAAATTTTTTCTGGCATAGCCAGACGCACAGCCAGTTTGGTATTTTCTTAGACCGAGATGCATCATCTGATCACTAAAATAAATCATCTGGTCAGCCTTGCCACTGCAGCAGCAGCAGGACAAGGACAGACCACGGAGACATGTCCAGGTCAAGCTGCACATGAAAGAAGAGGAAGAGAGGGAGATAAAAAGGGGGTAGACAAATTAAATATCCTGCTAACTTCATCAGAAGTGACTATTTACTGGATATTTAGCATTTTTAATTCGGTTTCAGCTGTGTTAATTTGGTCAGGTGGCGTTTCAAACGCGTGCCAAACATGCTCATCAGATAAAATATAGATCAGAATATATCGATATAGATCTAAATGTATGTGCAGACTCAGATAGTTGCACTGAATATTGGTTGTTGTAGATTATTTTTTGCACTGAAATGTGCCTGACATTGTGGAAACCTGCCAGTGAGGCACCAGTGACGTCGGCCAAAATACCACCAGACCAGGTGCGCTCCGCCTGCACTGAATGCTAAACCGGTTTGAATCCAGTTTTCAGCGCACTTTCCACGCCGCCGGCAAGCAAGAAAATAACTCTGTGCCAGCTGAATCTGTCGACATTTCCCCCTACTGCGCAACAACGCCTAGCCTGGCAGACCTCAGTGTGCCTTAGTCTATGAAAATACCAAACTAGCTGTGCGCCAGGCTCCTCAGACAAGAGTACCACTGTGTGGGGTGCGCCACCCTCCGTCGCGCTGCCGGTGGGCACAAAAATAAAGCCCTTTGTGTGCATCGGGGTGAAACTCCGCAATTTATAGAGCAATGTAACCATGTAGAGACAGAAATTAGATGCTGTTGTGTAAATAAGATAAACAACAAACTAAACTACATATAACTGTGTTTGAATCAGTGGGCATTAATTTTTTTTTTAGAACACTATATTTGCATTGTATTAAATTGTGTTATTTTTTAATTGGGCATAAATGCTCCTTAAACAGGTACATCCCAACTTTTTCAACATTAACATGTTAAATAGTCATTATTGCCTTTAGAAAAATGTTTTTTTGGGGAAGGTGGGTAGTGCACAAAGTAATGTAAGGGGGGAAAATGCCATTAAGGACAAAATGTTAGGCCATGGCCTACATGAAGTATTTTTGAAACCACAGCTTTTACACTTTTACTTGAGTAAAAAGCTTGAGTCGATACTTTAACTTCTACAAGAGTCTCTTTAAACCCTACTATCTATACTTTTACTGAAGAAATGACTGTGAATACTTTTGATACCTCTGACTATGTATCTGCATATGTAATGCTGCAAATACGCATTGTAGTCGATTGAAATTTAAAAAAAGAAAAGAAAACAAATTAATATACTTTCTGTGCTTACAATTATTCTGTCTTTTTGGGTCGCATCTGAATATCATCTCATCTCATCACAGCTACTCAAAATAATGAAAATCAATGTCTTTCAACATATATCAACAGTTAAAGGTTTATTTTTTTCATGGAATGACATACAAAACTGAAGAATGAATTATAGAGAGTGTCACTATTTAACTCAGGTAAAAAATCATTTTGTGTAGATAATTAAAATTTAAGACTTTTCCAGTAACTCACAAGTAACAAAATTTTTTTATAGTACTAAAAACTCAAAGAACTTTAAGAAATTCTCTAAATTGGACGTGGAAAGTTCAGATTTGAGGGCTTGCTCAGATTAATAACATTATTTTTATGACTCATGAGTAAATCAATACAATAAATAAAACATAAAATCCTTAAGCATTAGAATCAAAGTTTACCCTTGCCAGGTACCAAATGCAGGCAGACTCTGTTTGAGAAGTTAATAAGATCAAGAACTATAATGCATATAATGTGCGTGAGATGTTCTAACAATTTCCCTGGAGGTAGCATCAGCATAGCTGTAAAAAATCCAGGTCAGACATTTATAAATAAGACTAGCTACAAGGCTAAGGGTTAATAAGAGCAAAAGTAACACTAATCATGTTGTGACAAAGGCAGTAATAATGAGTTCATACTCATGTTTGTACCTGGATGATGTAGGTGTTTCCTTGGCAGTTGCAGCGTGTGAAGACAGTGTCAATGGAAGACAGGATACCAAAACTGCCCAGTATACTTAGAGGCTGACCGACTGAGTGGCTCTTGGGGTCCACTGACCAGAACAGCTTACCTGAAGCACACAACACACAGAAGACCATATTTAGCATATGTTACCTACTTTAAAGTTTCATCCAACAAAAATCAAGTCCCATTTATGATCATACTGACCTTTGAATATCAGTATTGTCCCATTGCTCAGGGCTGTTATTCCACTGATGGGAGAATCACTGCATAAAGCACCACCAGCAATGACTCCTGCACGCACGCACACACACACACATACAGAGACAAAAAAAAAATCTTTAAGTAGCCTACTAAATGGTTGTGACTCTTCATTTGTTGCATGTGTATGCCCAAAGACATTTGGCTGTATTGAATATGTGTTGTGTCTTTTTATCTGATTTGTTTTCAGTGTATTGTTTGATAAACTGCCCTGTGAAAGCTAAGAATAATTACACTGCACCCTGTCTTGAAATTTCCAAACTGCATTATTTATTTGTCTATTTATTTATTTATTTATTGTTATATTATCCTTTGTTGTTATTATTTTATTCATCATTATTATTGTTCTTGTTGTTTAAGTAGATGTTGGTGTTGTTGTTATCATTTTTATTATTATTTGATTTATTATATTATTATTATTCATTTACATTAATATTATTGTTGAATGGAATACTGAAGCATGTACATGAAAAATCTGTAAACCCAAAGCTTACCTAGCATCCTGTTGCAGTAGTTTGTCATTAAAGACATATATTGTGGGCAATCAGTGTAGCAGCAGAGCAATGTTACCCCCATAGACATCATATTGTCTATGACCCCACTCCGCTGTGGGTGTCACCTCACAAGCTGCTGGAGGCAGGGCATTCCACTCTGCACAGATGAGCCAGTAAGGAGGGTCTATAATTCTTTTCAAGAATTTTTGTAAATTCCACACAAAAACTTAGTACTGACATGCAGCTTCCACAACCTCACTTCAAAATACAAAAAGATCCCTAAGTGAAATAAAATCCAAAAAGGTCCCACAGTCAGTCAGGATCCATACAGTGAGTAGTTTGGTGTGAAACAGCAGTCCTCGTGTATCACATGGACTCAATTTGAATGAAATGAACTTTACTCTTATTTTACCTTTCACAGGACCACCAGGTCCCCCCTCCATCAAAGAAAGTCCAGAGGCCTGTGCTACATCCTGCAGTGTACTGGGTCTTGGTCCGGGGTCTGCAGAACCACTTAGATCTAGGGAGAAAACAATCATTTAAATTGTTGTGATGTCAAAATTCATAGAATTAATGAATCTTTTTTTAAACTCTAGGATGCAATCTGCTCTTTGGCAAACATGATACACATATATACAACATATAACATGACAAAAATACATGCTTCAGAGTATTCTTATCTATGTTGAATGTTTTGATTTAGATGAAAGTGAATATGCTTAACCTTGACTCAGCAAAGATGAAGCTGCTTCCCCAGGTGACTGCACCAGATGTACATTTTCTGCACCACCATTAGCTGTCAGACCAGAGGGACTGACAGGAGGGCTGCTGTCAAGAAACTGAACACCATAGCTGGGAAAAAATGGGCCTGTCGCATGTGACGCTGGTGACTGGAATGAAGGGATTGACAATGGCAGAGGACCATCTGCAGTGTTACTAAAATCTAAAGGAGGAAAAAAAAAAACATTTATTACACAAAAAATAAATTATCATTTCCAAAAGTAAAATTATACTAAAATAAAGAATACCACAAACCAAATGGTAGCAGAGTGGTTGGTCTATCAGGAGAGACAGGGCTAGAGAAGCCAGCAGTTTGTGGGTTGTGGGGGCTTAAGAACCTTGAACACTGGACCCCAGGGTTCTGGTGGCAGGGGCCACGAGCTGTACAAGAATATAAGGATTGAAAAACTAGTGATATAAACATGTAAGAGTGGTTTTATCGTCTTATGATAAGCAAAAAAAGCACTCAGTGGATTTTTACACATCTTTTTCTACAGACTCTTTACTAGTAAAAGTTTTTTAGAGGAGAACTTGTCATGATTTTACTGGTTTCTACACTTGAGGGCTCTGTGAAGTTTTTTTTCTGTGTGTGTGTGTGTGTGTGTTGAGTCTCCTTTTTCAATTTGCAGAGGTTGGGTGGCTCCTATTAAGCTAAAGCGCCTCCTGCACCTTCACACCTGCACCTGAGCAACCTAATCACCACCTTTTCTTAAGCTCTGCTCTCAGACTGCTAAGCGCCAGATATTTCCGACTTCAACAGTGGTATGTCCACCAATCGAATGAGTATTTTCAAGTCTTTTGAGATATTTCTGTGAATATTTAGTATTGTATTAATCCTTGCTGTCTTCCTTTCTGCCTTCACCAGGGCTGTCCAACCTTTGTAACGACTGCCACACTCTCGGGCTGTGTCTTATTTCAGAGACTGCATCAGGCTGAGCGCGCTCAAGCGCACTTAGTTGAGCGCACTGCCGTTATGTGGACTTGAGTACCCTGAGTGAGATGGTTTGGTTTTTGTGAAATGGGACAGACTACCCTTCGGGGGACTTCCTGGTTGAGTTGCCAAATGTCCCCACCCTCAGGCTCGCGTCACGACTGACTTGAAAAAAAAAGCCGCGGAGCACAGCATTTATTTCTTAATTGTGCGACCTTGCACAAACACAAAACAGTAGATACATACAAGCACAGATCATTTGCACAAAATTCATGGAGTATGAGGGCCATATAGAGAATTTTTTTTAAAGACTTCGAGATTTAAGTCATGAATTTACGAGAATGAAGTCATTCATTTATGAGAATAAAGTCATAAGGTTACCTGTTATTTCAGATGAGAGTTGTTCAAATTAGAGCCATTGAGCATTTGAAGGAACTGTGCTTCAGTATCGGTTTCACAAACAAGGAGATACTTCATCCTTTGGCACATCAGCATTACATTGTCACAAGTATAAAGACTTTAAAAAGAACATATGAGAAAAACATCTTTTCCACGGGGAAAAAACAGGTGGACTTGGAGGAAATCGCTGCTTTTGTGGAGGCAGAAATGGATATTCTGCGGATAAATCTGTCAATGCAGCCGTAAATAGCCGTGAATGACATTGAGCTTTAGTTTATGATATGAATCCATATGCCATAATAAGGCAATGGTGTCTCTGCAGATGGGTTTCCGCCGGTGTCAGAGACGTAGTGCTCGTCGGAGCTCGACTCCCTCTGGATCATAAAGTTGGATTGTTTCTTCAGAAACCACAAAAACTCTCTGAATGACCCAGCTGATACATCAATGGATAACCCTGCAGATGACCAGCTTCAGTCATTTCCCCTCCACAAAACCAGCTTTATGACTTTATTTAGTTGATAACTTTATTCTCCCAAGTTTACAACTTTAATCTCAAAGTCTTTAAAAAATAAACTTGATGTGGTCCTGATACTCCGATGTAGTTTTGTCAGCTTTCTTATTTCTAAAGTTTTTGATCGTGGTAGCAGAGCGGATCAGTTTGTCACTAAGGAGTATAATGTTTGGTTTGCAGATTTTAGTGAGTTCAGAGATCATGTGCTCATGCAGCCTATGGTGACTGTCTTGTGTTTTTGGATTTCTTTTATTTTCTTAAGCGAGTCCGGCCTCTCACCCGAAATGCGCCCTTGTGCAGCGGCATGCAAAGAATTCTGGAACACCAAGGCCACAAAAGTGTGCATAAATGCACGCTTGAAAAAGGGGCGGGGGTATTGTGGTTTTGGGACCACATTTGAAGCGCGCTCAGAATTATGAGCCAAATGGGACATCGTTCGCGCCGCGGGATGACATCATGCACACTTGAAATGCGCCGTTCGACGGTGCGGTCTCTGAAATGAGACACAGTCTCAGTACTGATTCATTAACCTGCTGTCTCCTGAAGCTAACACTCTGCCTTACCTCCTCACTATGGATCCCCTCCACTCTTCTGACCTCTGACCCCTCACCATCCTGCACCATTTATTTTTAATAAAATTACTTAAAGCTTCCACTGCCTCTGCTAACGGCTTTTGGATTCCTTCAAAAAACAGCTCCTAACATTAATATGTAATTTGTTTGACTGCTGTTTGCATTCCATAGACAGAGACACTTAGAGAGTCACAGGCATAAATAATATTGACTATACTCAGCCCAGGATGTTAGTAAACATCCCTACCACCCTCTTGAGTGGAGTCAAGGGCTTAAAACTCATTATTGACCAAAATGGAAGACTGAGAGCACCAAGTGCAGTCACTTGCGGCACATGAATACCCAGAGGAGAATCTTCTGTGGAAAAGTACGAATACAGTAAGCTGTCTCCCCGGAGCTAAGCAGATCATTCACTGCCCTGTCAAAAAGACCCTGCATCTCACCATCCCCTCAAAGGTGTAGTTTCTACTCATTTGGGCTTTCCACACTACATGCCATCTCTGAGTGCCAGGCCAAGGTGGTTTTCAACCTTGTGCTAGTATGGAGCAGAGGGCAAGAAGGACGTCCATCTTTTCCAAGTCTTACCCCACCTACCCCTCGGCTCTAGAGCTTCAAAGTGTCCTCAAGTCCCCTAACCCCAAGAAGGGCAGACTAATCTCCTGCTGTTTAATTAACACCACCCTCTGTGTGGGAGGCGCCTGCTGCTGTGGCTAATTACTGGATAAAGGACACCACTACTCTGACTTGTTAAGTAAGCTACATTAGCACGGTACACTCCAAGATGGTAAGGGAGGTGTTTCCATGGCTCAGCAAGTTCATAGCACTTGGGCATCAGATTCTGGCCACAAAGTTGTGTATCCTATTGTGTATCCTTAATGTTTAATAAATATCTGTGTCACTGCCCTGAGAGGGTCGGTCTCTACATGGATGATGTAACTTTGCAAAGAAAAAGTTTTGTCACAACAGAAAACACAGAAATCCTTTACTGCAGTCTGAGTAAGCAGGGGTGTGGAGCGAAAAAGTCATTCAATACCTAGAGATACAGTGCAGTATGCAGCTATGCAAAGCAGACGTGCTTGTAATCTGTGTCTCCAGAGAGTTAAAGGAAAAATTCATAAACATAAAGGTCATGCATGCCTGGATGTCCCCATCTGTGTCCAGGTGTGCAATAATGTGTTGACTCATTACTGTTTTTGTTTGTCAAAAGGTTTGATGAAATCACCAGATTCAGAGAATTTGAATTTTCTGGAAATAACTTGTTTTTCATGTAACAGGATTTAGCAAATGCCACTTATTAGCATGCAACAATACAATTCTCCCAACCTGTTATTTAGATTCAAGGTTTTATTTTTTTTTGTAGTTGGAATCAAAAACAACTAAACAAGAAAATCAACAAACCTGTGAGCCATTCCTCACTCTCACTGTTGGAGTGTTTCCTGCCCCTCTTTGATTTACGTTTTTCTGAGGACATGGGTAAACAATGAAAATAATCAGAAATATGTTTACTGGGACACAAAAAGTAAACTCTGAGAATTGTAGACAAAGAAGTAGTTAAAGCTTGCTCAAGGATTATTCCAAGCAGTCCAAGCAGTGTGTGTTTGTCGATACCCGTTATTTTTTCTGCCAAAGTTAAGTTGAAAAAAAAAACAGTTACAGCTTCTTACAACAATCTTTTGTAGATTTAAGGCTGTCTATGACTATCGTTGAAAAGAAGAAGTGGTGGAATTTTTTTATGGCTATTTAAAGTCATTGATCAAATATTCATGTATGAACCACATTTCATCAGGGAAATCTGGTCTTGTCACAAGATTTATGACACACAACAAGAACAATTTATATGAGGTTGCATCTCATATAAATCATGAAGAGTTCTCCTGTGTATTCTTGATGTCTCTGTTGGTTTCCTCTACCATCTGTCCCTGTATTTACCCCTTAATTACTTGATATTAAAATGCTGTGGGAATATGGTCCTTGTGAAGGTTGTAATAAACATGAGAGTTACATTTTGGTTTAGTCTGAAAAACTTCGCTGGGAGTCTAAGAAAATATCTGAAGAAAGTATATTTGCTGCTAACCTGAAGTAGAGGCCCTCATTGCCCGGAGAGTCCTCGAGTGTGGGTCTGATACACTGCTACCTGTGGATGAAGTCGAGATTTGATTTTAGACTTAACATGCTTTAAACTGTAACCTTTTTAATTTACAACGACTTGACTATTTAGACATACTCCTTCTTGGTAATATTAGATGTCCTTTAGGTCCACTTAAGTGGGCAATGCTGTGAGTAAAACCAAAAAGGTGACACAACTGGGTTATAGCAACAGTAATGCAAATTGATGCAAAATCAAAAACACACAAACCCACATGCCTATAAAAAAACACTGCAAACTGAGACACTGCAACAGGGGGCCTTTCTCTTAAAGAGGCCTCCTGTGGGACAGCTTATCGAACATTTTGTATCAAACATTTTGCAGGGTTTTTCCTGCGTTCAAAATTGCGTGGCGGCCGCCTCCACCTAGTTTTGTGCCGCCCCCAGCCAGAGCGATTGATTTCGCTCAACACAGCGTAAAGCTCCAGCTGAGTTGATTGAGCGATTGATGTCCCTCTGCAGCAGCAACGTATTTTAACTGCAGTTGCAGCGTTGCGCCACTATAGAGGCGCTATATCAACAGCAGTGCACCGGAAAGACCTGAAGCATCTACCGAAGAAGAAACGGATTGAATCATGTTTTTTCAAGTTTTTTCCCGCTAGTTGGAGCTATCGGCGTCCTGATTTTCCCTGGCAGATGGTACAAACAGGTAAATACTGCTTGTCTTTTTTGCATCCAAGCATGACGTGTTTATTTAAAAAAAAGTTTCCTCTGTTTTTAGCGTTGCAGTTATGACAGGCAAAATCAGCCAGTACTTTAAAAAGCGACCTTGCGAGGAGGAAAGTCAAGAGTCCAGGTGAAACACAGCAGAGAAAAAACGTAACAGGCAGTTAAAATGCTATAATTCATGGTGGTGACAACGTGGAAATTTGTGTCAGGTCTGAAAGTACTTCACAAGGGACTGGTGATAGCGAGGGTCAGAATGCAGGACAGGACGAGTCGGCGAGGCGAGGGTATTGCACAATAAGCAAAATTTGCTTATTGTGCAATCAGGTCAATGACCTGATTGGATGACGCAGTAAGCATGGGACTGCACTACATCCTGCACCACCTTAACTCCACTGGGACCTACACACAAATCATAGATTTCAGATCAGTTCCTAAGCTCCTCCACCTCAAATTGACCCAGCTCATGGTTCCCAGCTCACAACTGTCAGTGGATCACCAGCTTCCTGACCAATAGGAGGCAGAATATGAAGCTAGGAAACAGATCCAGCACCCAGACCATCAGCACTGGCACCCCCAGGGGTGTGTTTGCTACCTGCTGCTCTTCTCCCTCTACACCAACAACTGCACCTCAAGTGATCCATCTGAAGCTTGTGGACAACACTACAGTCATCTGTGTCATCCGAGACAGTGATGAGTCTGCAAACAGACAGGAGGAGGATCAACTGGTCTTCTGGTGCAGTCAGAACCATCTGGACCCGTTGAACCCACTCAAGACTGTAGAGATAACAGTGGACTTGAGGAGAAGCCCTCCTGCACTCTCCCCCCTAACAATCCTGTTCCTGGGATCTACTATCTCTAGGGACCTGAAGTGGACCATTAAGATAGACTCACAGGGGAAATCACAGAGACCAACCTGCCCTCTATCCAGGACTTTTACTGGTCCAGGATCTGATGAACAGAGACCATAGACTGTATATAGAATGGACAGCGTCTGTCTCCTTGCCCCCCCCCCCCCGCTTACGATGTTGACATGTAGTTACAGTAAGACTGGTTTGTGCTCAAGTCATTTTTTTTCTGTGAAGCTCTGTTTTTAAAAGTTATTAGGGGGTTCATATTTTCTATGATTGACACCTGATACAGCCTATTGTCGTTCAGGGATTGCGTAGCTCACCCGGGGAATACACAGTTTGAGCCGAGCGTCATCACAGCGACTCTCGATGACTCTCCCGCCGAATGCGCACAACGCTACTGTGCAATGCTGGTTTTAGGAAATGAAGAAAAATCTCAGAAATACTGAGGGCTTTTTAGCTTCAAATCTGTATACAGGCGGGAGGCGGAACCAAGTTGTCCATAGTATATACAGTCCATGACAGAGCCACCGAAAGACCACTGCGCAAAAACCTGTGAAATAGCTCTCAATGTGGTTGTAAATATTTGTTTACCTATATAACCCTGTATTCTAACTACAGAAATCCTCCTGTCATCCAGCATGTATCTCTGCACACCATTATCTAATATTTAATATTTCATGTTAATACTGCATCTGAAACAACACATACCTCATGTACATAATCTACCTCTCATATAATGACATACTGTATATGTTTTTCAATCACTCATCACCCCACTGCATTTCTCACCATTGCACTGTTGCTATAACAGTCTTGTATATACTTGTATATATAAGTCAAATGTCTTGGACAAGCTTGTGCATAGTTTGCATTTTTTTTGTACTATTTCATGATAAATGTTTGTACATAGTTCAAAGTTCACCAGAGTCAAATTCCTTACATTAGACACATTCTCGGACAATAAAGCTGATTCTCTTCTGGTGGAAGATAAGGCAGTGAAGTCATTATCAGATGACATAGTTACTAATTATCTGCCCACGGTGTCTTTGAGGTCCAGGTCCACTGCTTTGAAAAACACAACTTAACAGCATGAACAAAAACCCACACTACATTTACTGAGTTAGTGTTGCAAATGGGCATGTGGGTTCACTTAAGTTACTGCTTGAGATGGCACCATAATAGTAGATAACTTTGAAAGACATATTATGTGGGACAACAGACAATTGAATTTCCCTTCTGAGATTAATAAAGTTTTTCTTATTCTTATTCTTATTCTTATTCTCAGTTGGCTGTAAAGCCAGTAGTACTATAAGCTGACTCTGGCTACTGTCAGGCTTAGAAATGGGAGTGTGAGTTAGCTATGGAGCTCAATTAGTCTTGCAGCTATTGTTATTTTAATGATCCTTCCGAGCAGCAGCCCCCATTGTTGAGAAGTAAAATCAGTGCATGCAGGAAACAGTTCCTAAACTACCTGTTTACATGACAGCCCCTTACACACAACCTGATATGATATCATTTAATGGCACTTCCCGCCATGACATGGAGTTCTCTACTCAGTTTGACTTAAAAGAAACTCTTTGTAAACCCTTAAACCATGATTTCTTTTTATTATGCAATACCAATTGCTGGTCAGAAAATTTATGCTTACCTTACTGTCCAGCCGATTTGAGCTCTTAATAGCCATTAAATTATATGGGTTTCTTGTTTTAGGATAATCAATTTCCGAAAGACCTTAAATTCCCATTTACAGCTTTTCACTTTGGATGGACCACTTTTACCCAAAGGGGGAATAGTCAGTTATGTGGGTAGGGATATTTGACTATACTAATGGATTCTAAAGCATATCCATTTATGTTCAATGTTACAATGTCGTTTAGCAGACACTTTTATCCAAAGCAATGTACATACGATAACAAGAAGAACACAAGCAAAGACCAAGACAGGAAGAAACGAGATCAGTAAGAGCAACAAGTGCTTCAATTATATATATACAGTATATGCTGCTCAGCGAGTGACCACCAAGAAGAGCAGACAATATGCGGACATTTTCAAGAGCATGGTATAGGCGCAAAGCATGGCTAACTGTAAGCCTGAAGAGTAAGGCTCTTTTCTGTTTCCCGTGTAAATTAATGGTGACAAAAAGAAATCATAAAGCTGGCAAAATATAATTTCGGCTACTGAAACAGTCAATCAGCGAAATCTTTTTGTAGAAAAGTAGAGTTGTTATAAGCAGCTGCTTGTACAAAATTATCAAAATTTGATTTTATAAATATGATCATTCATTGTCTTTCTTAATTACTCTCTATTGTGCATAATGCCTTTTAAATATGTTTATTAGCAACTCACGTGTTTTCTAATTACTTTTTATTGACATGATTTGTATATATATATGTATTTGTGTATGTATTGTTATCACTGTTATTGTCATCACAACGTAGTTATATGACATGGTAAGAAGGGGGCCGGACAAGATAAGCATTTGCTTCTTCCTGTCCCTTCCTGAACAATTATGGTTGTGTTTTATTATTGTTGGTGATGTATTGGTGTTTTTTTTTGTTCAAGACAAATAAAATAGAAAAATAGAAATAGAAAAAGAGTATATAAAGATTAAAACCTTATATAAACCATAAATTTTAACATAGTGAGACACTACATAAAAGCCAGACGAAAAAGAGAGCTAACAGACAATGTTCATGCCACAATGTTAGAAATCAATAAGTTTTAAGGCAGAATGAAAACATCCTGGAAAACTCCTGGAAAATGATTTCTATAAAAGAGTGGGAACCCTGTATTTGTTCACCCAGTTTCAATTCAGTTCAACTGAAATATCAAATGTAATAAAATTGTTCTGTATTTAAAGCAAATGTTTGTGTTGTTTTCCATGGCTGATCGCTTTGATATGCAGCCTGATTTGTTATAGATGTGGGTCTGCTCTTCACTATTTTTCTGCTGTTGTCTTTGTGTGCTCCTTTGCTGTAGCCTAACCTGTCGAGATGCAGGTGGATGTACACGAGTAAGAGTATGCTGCTGTCAGTTTCTATATCATAGGATTACATTGAATGTAGGTAGGCTGTGTGTCGGCTATAATGCCCTATTAATAAGTTGAAATACAGTATCCCTACCCCATTTGTCTTTGTGGGTCAACATCGTTTGTTTCCTTAATTATTTTCTTAGAAAGCACCAGAATGCTTCATTTACCTTTTGAAAACGAAAAAAAAAATCTTCCGGGCGAGGATACCCCCGGACCCTCTACAGGGCTCTGTTTTCCAAACCTTCAGCCCCACCTATTATTTTTCTCACCAGCTGCCACTGAGATACAACTACACCCACAGACATTACGCCAGTTTTTTTTAGCATCTGCTGCTTAACGGGTCCATTTTATGGCCAAAAGAGTGAGACGCCGGCGAAGGGGAAAGCGAGCTGGGGTGCTCACGCATCTCAGACAGCGAGGCCCGCGCACGCCCTTACCTGGGATATTGCTCTCCAACGTCCGCTCACTCAGCAACAAGATGGATGAGCTAGCACTGCTGATGAAGAGGAATAGAGACTTCTCCTCATCTTGTGTTCTGTGCTTCACGGAGACGTGGCTTAATGCACAGACACCGAACTGTGCCATACAACTGGAGGGTTTTCAGCTCCTCTGCGCAGACAGAGATCGTGTACTCTCTGGTGGGAAAACAAAGGGTGGAGGAGTCTGCTTCTACATCAACAACGCCTGGTGCTCCGACGTGACAGTGATCTCCCAACACTGTTCTCCTTCTCTGGAATATCTCTTCATGAACTGCAAACCGTTCTACTCTCCACTTGAGTTAGTCTCATTTATAGTCTGCTCTGTTTACATTCCACGAGGCCAAGCGCGCGCTCACGGAGCAGGTTATGAGTGTAGAGAGGAATTTTCCGGACCCCTTGGTTATAATACTCGGTGATTTTAACAAAGGAAATCCCCCTTTAGGAACAACCAAAATACAAACAGTTTGTAACATTCCCGACCAGAGAGGGGACCACATTAGATCACTGTTACATTACAGTGAGTGGTGCCTATCGCGCTGTGTCTTGCGCAGCTTTGCGACTCTCAGATCACGGCATGGTTCACCTGATCTCCGCATACAGACAGAGACTAAAACACTGTTAACCTGTAGTGAGGACATCCAAAGTGTGGACCAGTGAAGCTGTGGAGGAGCTACGCACGTGCTTGGACACCACGGACTGGGATATGTTTAAGGCTTCTACAGACAGTTGAGACGATTACACAGACACTGTGACGTCGTATATTAATTTCTGTGAAGACAGCATCATCCCACAGTGTACCAGGGTGAAATACAACAATGACAAGCCCTGGTTTACATCAAAACTCCGGCAGCTCTGTCAGCAGAAAGAGGGGGCTTTCAGGGAAGGTGACAGAGACCGCTACAAATGTGCCAAGTACAGTTTTAGCAAGGAGGTGGTATTACTGTTTTGTAACATTATTGACAAACTATTACATTTCGGGCATTGTTACATTATATTTCATAACATTTTGGGTCATTGTTAAATATCGGGCTCTAAGAAGGCTTGTTCGCCACTACTTACCACAGTTGTGCTGGTAGTCTTGACAGCAGGTGTTGTATTGTATGCACAGTGGATCACACTCACACAGCTGACCACGCCTAAATATCTCTCCACAGCGACCCTTACAAGAGTGACCTACGAGCAAGAGCCAGAAAAACTATTATCATCATAGAGCACAGTGTTCACCTGGTTGAAACAGTCTGTAACATTAAGCGGCATTTCTTTCAATTCCCAACCTCAGACAACCACATAGAGGCCTACAACACAGGGTGGAAGCTTCCTGGCTGACTCACAATGTATGGGTGACCCTGGCTCATCAAGCACGTCTTTACTTTTCAAGCTGCAGGTCTTCTGTCAATTTAACTCAAAAGCTCCTTTTTATTCTATTATTTATTTTAATTGTGTTCTATTGTTCGCTGCCAAGACACAACAATTCCTACATTGCAAGCAATATGCTGTTTTTTCATCAGACCAGGAGTGGACAACCATGTGCCATGGAAAGCCAAGAGGCTGCAGGTTTTCTTTCCAACCCAAAACTCCACCAGGTGATTTCACTGATAAGTTTCTGCTCTCTGCTTGGAGGTAAGGTAATCAGTGAAATCACCTGGTGGAGTTTTGGGTTGGAAAGAAAACCTGCAGCCTCTCGGTTCTCCATAGCACATGGTTGTCCACCCCTGCATTAGACATTTTGACACAGAGAATGACAGGTTGTTATTTCACTTACTATTAAAGTAAAATGAATCTAAATAATTGTAATGTAATGAAAACAAAAAATCCACTGAAAGAATTCTTACCGGTGGTGCAAACTGCCTGAAAGTCTTGGCAGCACTCATTGTGTTGAAGGCAGCTGAAGTCACATGCACACTGCTGACCTCTGGTGAAAGTCTCACCACACCTACCCACACAGCTGCCTAAAAAAAGAGATAGACCAGGTCACAAAGAGAATGTGATTAACCATTAGTGGGGCATGTTTCAATAATCCACATAATAAGGACCGAAGACTTTAGGGTTGTTTTGGTGTAGCCGACCATTGCAGAAAATAGATCTATGTTGCTTTGCTTTAAAAGCCAAGTCGGCACGTAAGTTTTCATCACACAGTTCACATACTTCACCTCTCTTCTTCCAGTGTTGTTATGAACATACAGAATATATGCTAATTGACATCTAAAATATTTTATGTATGAGGTTAAAATTATTCTTACTGTAGATTATTTAATCTGAATAATCGGGGAAGTTTAAATAATCAACTATGGTTTACTTGAAATCAGAAACTATGGTATTGAATGTTTTGAGTGTGTGACATCACATAAGTACGGTGGCCTGGAAGTGCAAAACACGACCGCAAAAGAGAAAACACGACAGCAAATCCAAAACGCAAACTCAAAAGAGAAAACGCAACCACAAATCACAAAACGCAACTGCAAATCACATGTGAAAACGCAAAAAAGAGAAAACATGACAGCAAATCACATATGCAAACACAAAAAAGAGAAAACACGACAGCAAATCACATATGCAAACGCAAAAAGGAAAACGCAACCGCAAATCCCAAAACACGATAGCAGCGTCTGTCTTCTTCTTCTTCATTGTAGTTTAATGGTAGTTTACTCCGCTGGGGGTGGAGTACTACCTCCACCTGCTGGATCGATGTCGGAACGGGAAAGTAAGCACTCGAATCGACACGTCTGTCCTTTGACCCGGTAACACACGAACCGCGGCGCGACAGTCGGTGATAATGTATTGCCGATACTGTGGCAAAGAGCTCCCCGGACAACCCAACTTTTGCAGCAGTTGTGGTAAAAGGCTGCAAGAAGCAGACGGTGACAGTCCATCAAGTAAGTTAAGGGATGTTCAATTAATGTGTTCTGCTACACAACATGTCGACTATTACGTCATATTTGTGTCCTGCATCAAAATATTGCTGGATAATTTTGAGTACACTTTCGCTTTCGGCGTCCATTTTCATGTTTACTTTCCCGTTCCAAACTCCAGCAGGTGGCAGTAGTACTCTACCCCCAGCGGAGAAAACTGCCATTAAACTACAACGAAGAAGAAGATGATGACAGACGATGCTGTAGCGTTTTGGGATTTTGCTGTCGTGTTTTCTCTTTTTTGTGTTTGCATATGTGATTTGCTGTTGTGTTTTCTTTTTTGTGTTTGCATATGTGATTTGCTGTCGTGTTTTCTCTTTTGTGTTTGCATATGTGATTTGCTGTCGTGTTTTCTCTTTTTTGTGTTTGCATATGTGATTTGCTGTCGTGTTTTCTCTTTTTTGCGTTTTCACATGTGATTTGCAGTTGCGTTTTGTGATTTGTGGTTGCGTTTTCTCTTTTGCGTTTTGGATTTGCTGTCGTGTTTTCTCTTTTGCGGTCGTGTTTTGCACTTCCAGGCCACCGTACATAAGGCCTGAAGGATTTTTATTTTCATATCTACCACTTTATGCATCATCCCACTTATTATCCAACTACTGTCATAAATAAATGGATACTATGCTAGTTTTGGATATTAAAAAGTGATATTAACAGATAAAAAAAGTCCCTCTGGTTTGGTTGGTCACATCACAGAGAGATTCCTCTTTCATTGTCAAAACAGTAGCAGTCTAACATCATATGACAGCATATTTCCATCAAAGTAAAGCATTAAACAAGATGGGTGTCTGTTGAAACACGCCTGGTTATTTGTGATCTTTTACATTAAATTTGACATTTTTATTGACAGTTATACTGTTTTCTGCAAAATTACAAGCATTGGTTTGTGTCCTTCTTCTACCCTTCTTTGTTTTGAAGCTTTGCAGTTAATTCACCTTCAAAAAAAGATGATACAAGAGTCATTTTAACTACTTCTGTTGTCCCTATCACTTATGTTTTAGCTATCAGTCAGGAATAGATTTATCAGCTCTGCTGCCTCTGCATGGAGACCAAACCATCAAAAAATATATATGTTTTTAGCCTACCAGTTTAACATAAAATTACTGAAATGATACTAGGGGAAAGTAACGTCTGTGAACTATGTGCCAAAACTACATTCCGCGGATTGATTTACTATGACTTGTACTGCTTGTCCCTAGTGTTCTTCTACTTATGCAGAGTGAAGAACTGCTGTCAAGGGGTTATTAATTAAGGGGTTTTGACCAATCGAGATTAAGTATTTAACAAAGCCAGGTGAAAACCAAGAAAGCTGGATAACACTGCTGAAGGCATGTGTATATGGTTGCTGTAATAAAAAAAGCTAGTTTGATCTCTCTTGATAAAAATTCAGCATGTGTGTAATCCTTCAAAAATAGAGATGATGTGTCAGTGCATACCTGGTCCAGCAGCAGTGTAGGTTGTTTCAAGGCCAAGCAACAGAAGCCATAGGGATATTTTCATTATCATCATCTTCATCCAATTTAAAGTCAACGATGGTTAGGATTGTACCTCAGAGAATAAGTTCTTCAGCGTGCTTTCTCTCAGATTCTTCTTCCAGTCTGTCAGTGTTTTGCTCTTATATAAAGGCACTAGACTGAACAATGGGCCTATGATTACCACAAACAAACACACTCATAACACACCTACAGTCTAATTAAAACTTTCATGAAGGGTTTCACTTCCTACTCTGGCAGTAAATATACTCCTACACAATGAGTCTGTAAATGCTGGGAATGGAAAGTATTTGATAGCTCCAGGTGCCTCATCAACATTTATTTTGTACTGTTTAAAGTATATTTTTATTCATGACCAATCTGGGATCCCTCTTTTTATGTTTCTAAATGGTACAAAATATATACATTTTTCCTGGTAGACATATAGTAAATATCTACTACAAGATTAAGTTAAACATCTCCATGCTCTATGAGCATCTTTGAATAAGTGCACTGTATGTCTTCCAGTATTTTAAGTCCCCCCCCCCCCCCCAAAAGGAGCCCAGCTTAGAGTTGCCTTATTCCCCTCTTCCTCCCTCCTGTTCTCCTTTTTCTCATCTAGGAAAATGGGGCACCGGTCTTGTGGCGACCCGACAGTTCTCCTGTCCCGACCAACTTGAAAAAAGCCAGTAAAAGATGATCTCATGTGGTTTGAAAATTGTGTGGTTGGGTTTTAATTGTTCATCTTAGCCTATGGTTATAAAAAGTGTCTACACTTTGGGATGAATGGACAAAGCTGAATGGCAGGAATGGAGAAGAGAGGCCAGTTGTGTCAGGCATTTGTTTCAGGCAGATAGACTGCTTAAATTTGAATTAAATTGCATTGCTAATATGAAGAAAAGGTCAGACATTGAATTTAACAAGATGAATAATTCATCAAGATATTAACATACAAAATTAAAACAAAACATATAGATTTAAAAAGAAATAGAGGTGTGCTGAATAATACATTCTGGTTGGTCATTTGCAACATCCTTCAGTCTGCTGTTTAGGGCTGCAGCTGTAAAGCGCAGAACATTGCCAAGATTAGAGGCTACACTTTTCACATCAGTGGAAATCAGGTCTTTCTTTAATATCTGATCTGTGGTACTTAGTAAAATTTTGAACACAAAATGCAAACTAGACTGGTAAAAGGTGTTACATACTTATCTGAGGAATAATGAAAGGTAAGGATAATCCAAGGTCTTTGGGCTGTGCGAGGGTCCATAGGTAAGTAACAGGCAGTAAGGGTTTTAAATCCAGAGTGAGTGCTGGGTTGTGGGCTCGGGTGAGGCAAGGAGTGAGGCACTGAAAAAAAAAGAGAAAAAGGGTCAGTCAAAGGATTCGAAGGAGTTTTATTTGTCATGGATCCTGTATCAGCCATAAGAACATGATAGACGTATAAAAGAGATAATTAGTAAAGATATAAATAAAAACCCAAAGGAATCTCAATAAAAATCAACAGTAATATTTACATAAAAATATGATTATATTTACAGCAACATTTACCCAAATAAACCTAAATAAAAACAACAATACTATTTAAAATTAACCTAATCTAAACACGGTACACACTGGAGTACAAAGCAGCAGAGTAGTGGTGTGCAAACAGGCCATGTCAGCTGTGAGGCTGATTTGGTGCAGAATTCATCCAAAATAAAATGTGCAAAATCCTTGCTCACCACATGAACTTTACTAATCCCCCAAGTAGGTGTTAGTAATGTAACGCATATTCTGATGTATCCTAATATTTCATCAGATCACAATCCCATCCAGTTGGATTTTGAATTACGGACAACATCACTGTCAATTCTAATTATTTTCTCGGAAACTCAAAAGCTTAGGTGAATGCATCCATACATTCAAATTTTACATACCAAACTGATACCAGCAGCCTTTAAAGGTTGCCCTAGGGTGGAACTTATATCCATCTGAACTGTGATATTGACTCTAATTCATTACTGGAAATTCCAAATATTAATCTCCTTTGATGATCTAAAAAGCAGAGGATATATCTATTCTTAATATTCTGATGAAACAGACTTTTATCAGGTGTTCTGTGATAATCCATCTCCTCTACTGAAGCAGATTTTATAAGTATCTTTGACAGAAGAAGATTTCTCGTAATGTTGAATTATTTCCACAATTACCAAGTTACAGTAAAGAAAAAAAAAAAATTACCAGAAAGAAACCATAAGCAGAACCAGACTCATGCAAGACCATCATCTGCCACTACTTCCCCAACAACAAACCCTAGATCACAAGTGACATAAAAGCAATCCTCAACCAGAAAAAGAAAGCTTTTAAAGATGGTGACAAAGGATGACTCAAACAAGTGAAAAAAGAGTTGAAGAGGAGACTGAAGATGGTAAAGCTGGAATACAAAAAGAAGATAGAGAGAAATTTACAACCCAGGGGCATTCATGGGATGTTGAGAGGAATCAGTACCATCTCTGGACACAGCAATAAAAAGAAAAGACAGCCAGTGGTGGGTGATGTGGAAAGAGCAGATGAACTCAACCTGTTCTTCAACAGATTTGACACTGCTGTCACACCCACTTCCACTGATACTTCACTTTCCTCTCCACAACAAATCTCCACTACAACTTCTTCCGTTCCTCCTCTTTCATCTTTTTCAAATGTCTCAACCACTTCCACTACCTCCCTCCTAGAACTTCAGTCCTTGTATATCACAGAAACAGGGGTGAGGATGGTATGTGTCCAAGGCTGCTTAGAGACTGTGCTGCAGAACTGTGTCAACCTCTCCACAGGATCTTTAACCTGAGTCTACTGCTGGGGTGGATACCTGCTCTTTGGAAAACATCCTACATTGTGCCAGTACCAAAAACAAAATGTCCAGCTGAACTCAATGACTACAGACCAGTGGCCCTCACTTCACACATCATGAAAATCCTGGAGTGGCTGATTCTACACCTTCTGAGGTCTGAGGTAAAAAACAAACTGGATTCCCTGCAGTTTCCATACAAAGAACACATTGGAGTGGACAATGCTGTCCTCTACATGCTTCACCGTGCCCTGTCTCATCTGGAGGAACCTCAGGTTTATGTGAGGATCATGTTCTTTGACTTTTCAGGTGCATTCAACACCATTCAACCCACCATACTCAAAGACAAGCTCACAGAGATGGGAGTGGATCCTGCCTGTGTTTCTTGGATCACAGATTACCTGATAGGAAGGCTACAGTTTGTCAGGCTGGGGAACTGTGTTTCTGGGACATTAATGAGCAGTACAGGGGCTCCAGTTCTGGCTCCATTCCTGTTCACACTATACATCAGACTCCAAATACAGCACCGAGTCCTGTCACATCCAGAAATACTCAGATGACACTGCTATCGTGGCAAGTATCAGAAATGAACAAGAAGCTGAATACAGAGATCTGGTAAGAGCCTTCAGTGACTGGAGTCACAAAAACTGCCTCCTCCTCAACACCTCAAAGACAAAGGAGATGGTCATAGACCTCCGTAGATCCAAACCTCCTCTTCTGCCAGTGAACACCTGGAAAGTGGACATCAAGTGATTGAACTCACTGTGTGACTGTTAATGGTATTAAATCATCCTATCTTGACTGCAAATTTTAAAAAGGAGAGGAACCTACATATTACAGATGAATTGAAATATCTGGGGGTTACCTTGGACTCAGCATTATCTTTTAAAAAACGTAAAACAGGTGTGTAAAATTGTACATTTTAATATTTGTAATTTCAGACAAATCAGATCATCATTGCCAGAAAATGCTGCTAAAATGTTTCTTCTTTGTATGATTTTTTCACATATTGAATATTGCGTTACTAATTGGTCACTAACGAGCATGGCTATTTTAAAACCAACTGAGATTTTATATAAAAAAGCACTAAAAGCATTTGATAGAAAACCATTATCTTTTCATCAATGCCTAGTACTTGAAAAATATAAGATTCTACATTTTGGAAATTTCAAAAAATTCAAACTGGTATGTTCAATTTATAAAATCTTACATGGACTCTCTCCACCACCACTGTATGAGTTTGTAAAATTAAAATCAAATACAAGTGGCAGAACAACCAGAGCTTGTTCTCAGTGGCTGCTGGTGAGAAAAATAATAGGTGGGGCTGAAGTTTTGGAAACCAGAGCCCTGTACGGGGTCTGGAGGTATCCTCCCCTGGGAGATTTTTTTTTTCGTTTTCAAAAGGTAAATGAAGCATTCTGGTGCTTTCTAAGAAAATAATTAAGGAAACATATGATGTTGACCTACGAAGACAAATGGGGTGGGGATACTGTATTTCAACTTATTAATAGGGCATTATAGCCGACACACAGCCTACCTACATTCAATGTAATCCTATGATATAGAAACTGACAGCAGCATACTCTTACTCGAGTACATCCACCTGCATCTCAACAGGTTAGGCTACAGCAAAGGAGCACACAAAGACAACAGCAGAAAAATAGTGAAGGGCAGACCCACATTTATAACAAATCAGGCTGCATATCAGAGTGATCAGCCATGGAAAACAACACAAACGTTTGCTTTAAATACAGAACAATTTTATTACATTTGATATTTCAGTTGAACTGAACTGAAACTGGGTGAACAAATACAGGGTTCCCACTCTTTTATAGAAATCATTTTCCAGGACTTTTCTAGGATGTTTTCATCCTGCCTTAAAACTTATTGATTTCTAACATTGTGGCATGAACATTGTCTGTTAGCTTTCTTTTTAGTCTGGCTTTTATGTAGTATCTCACTATAATACATGTATGGTTTATATTAGGTTAGCTTTATGATTTCTTTTTGTCACCATTAATTTACACGGGGTACAGAAAAGAGCCTTACTCTTCGGACTTACAGTTAGCCATGCTTTGCGCCTATACCCTGCTCTTGAAAATGTCTGCGTATATTGTCTGCTCTTCTTGGTGGTCACTTGCTGAGCTGCAAATACATGTATATATATAATTGAAGCACTTGTTGCTCTTAATGACCTTGTTTCTTCCTGTCTTGGTCTTTGCTTGTGTTCTTGTATGTACATTGCTTTGGATAAAAGTGTCTGCTAAATGACATTGTAACATTGAACATAAATGG